TAACAACTGCAACGCGCGGGACAGCAGTGAGTCATGCATGGAGAGGAAGTGAGAGGACGTGTATGGGAATGGGGTTATGTCCATTATCGATCATTACCATGGCAATGTGAGGTTGATCACGTGATCCAGCTGCCTACAGAGTTCTGGTTTTGTCCGCCGTATTGCATCGGCCTCTGCTGGACGCAGGAGACGCCCAGTCGTTGCTCGAAAAAGAACCCTTACTGCAACCATTGGGTCCACCGTATGGCCCGCATCCACTAGGTGCCTTGTAATTGAGCTCCTGGGTACCTTATTTTCCACCCTTAGCACCCACTTTGGTATGTGTTCAACTGACCGAGCTTCCAGCTGCCTTTGCGTACGTCCAAGGTACTTGCATCCTACAACGTTTCATCCCTCTAGGTCGATTTCTGATTGGGAAGTTTACCTTATCTTTTAAATACGCAATGACCGTATGCAGTTGAACAGAGGTCACAAAAAGCTATTACGTCATTAAATCCTGCATGTTTCTTCGCTTTGCCTGTTTGTCAAAACGCCTAGCAGGGACAGACTGACTCGTCATGAGTTCGGATCTAAAGATCACACTTTATTTGGTTAGGGAGACTTGCATTTAAACGGATGAATAACTTCTCAAACTGGGCCTGGTTTTGCTCTAATTGGCACCCTAAAGAATGAACTTAAAAACAAGTGAAGTCAAACAAAGCATTTACGGCTCCTTGAGCAGCATGTAAAGAGTAAATAAATTACGATGACAACAGGGGCACACGTCAGTTGGTTGACCATTCGTGCACATGGAGGTGTCTGTTTGGTTTTGTCCTGAGTGGCCCCACTCGGAATCACCTTAACAACACAAAGCCTTCTCGATGCTGTAGAAAGCAGTAGTAGGGTCAGGTTGATGAACTGGCCACGGGTTGTAGCTATGCAAAACTCCTGCTGAAACCAGGTCATGGTTTCGTTTACTTTTTGCTTTATTGCCAGATAAGGAAATCTCAACTCAGTTGCCCGCACTTCTAAGAAACTAATATTTGTTTCCGTTTGGGAGGACGCTCAGTCCAGATTGCCGACTGAAATAAAAATAGCACAAGTCTTTTGTGCAGGGCAGGGTTGTGTATCAAAATTACCAATGAAACCGACGAACCTTCGCGAGAGTGGAAATCCCTGCGGTCTCTGAAGAGTCAAATTACATTACTGGGAAGCATTTTCGATTTGTGGGATTTTCGGCAGTCGGGCGATTCGATTCAGCGATGTATTTTAAAGTTTATATCAGTATACTACTCTTCCTTTCATAGAGAAGAAGTAAAACCCCCACCTGACACAAATACTGCATCTGCCGTCATGATAACCATAGTTGAAAAAAGGGATTTAACACTGACGTTCTCACCTGCCTAAGCGTTCTGGGGGTCCAAAATTTAAACTGGTGCGCTCACAGCAATACAAGGGGACTACATCTTTTAATCCAGCTCAAACCCAGACCTAACTGTATGCAGGGTGCCCTAAATTACTTGACATAATTTCATTGCCTAATAACAGGAACAAATGTCATTCAGATTGTCTCAAATTTTAACAACATGTCTAGAATTAAATTCGTTTTCAAAATAACATTAAGCTTCCTTATGTCTCCCTTTTCTGGATTAGACATGCCGTCTACTGTAACATAAAAGGAGTTTGACGTATTGAAATACACCAGAACTCAGCGCAACATGCATTTGTTTCGAGATTTCACGAACAAACGCCAACAAGGAAGCGGGTTTATAAGTAGCATGCGAAGTTTCAAGAGAAAGGTCGTTTGCTTCGGAAAAAAAGATCTAATCAGCCAACACTTTCAGAAGAGATGGTGAACAAGGTTATCGAAGGGTTTATTCATAGGTATGTTGGAAGGGCACGCCTGGGAACCCGGATACCAAGTCAGATGTTTGGCGTATCACAAGAAAACGCCCGCAACTATCCCCCTACAAGCTTCACCTTGTGTAAACTTTAAAGTCGGATGACAAGCAGAAGCGCAAAATGTCCTGCGAGGATAATTTAAAAGAGGCTTGATGATGAAGACTTTAAAAACCATCTTGTTCTCAGTGATGAGGCTATAGTCCATGCGAAGGACAAAGAGAACAAGCAAAATGTTCGCATTTCGCACAAAGAAAATCCACTTACTACTACGACTGAACATGAAGGGGACTCATTAAAAGTGACTGTGGTGGGGGGGATGCACAGCGATCGTCTTTTTACGGAGCTTACTTGTCCCTTTGTGCCTTAGGGCTCTCTTTCTCAAACCTAAGCAGCGGCTGAACAGTGGCGCATGATATAAGCAGAATATGAGAAACGTGAAGTGCTCACGGATCAAGGGAACTGCATTTCTGACGTTTCGGAGAGCTTGACAGGCTCTACATTATCAGAGCCTTCAGTGCAGAAATCGAGCAGAATTTTGCATAGACGACCGAACTAGTTGGCCTTGGGATGATCGATTTTTTTCTTCTTTCGCTGCCTTGGCCCTCTGGGCGTTGTTTGTGAATGTTGGTGGCCTCCTGCGTAGTGTGTCGTAGCCTCAACTGGGGTCAGTTGCGATTGTGTCCCCATTCAGGGTGAAATATTCGACGGGTCGTGTTTGCTCGCTCAGTTTATCGACCCGGATCTCTTACGTTTTCGAACATGGGCAGAATACCATTACCGACCGCTGGCTGGGCTCAAGAGAGAGCCGTAAGGCAAAAGGGGACAACTGAGTTCCGTAAAAAGACGATCTATGAGCGCCTCTCTACCACTGTATATTCCCGATCTCAACCGATAGCACAACGAGCCCGTGGCCCAGTAGTTAGAGGCGTTGGACTTCTAACCGAGCCCCAGGTGTTCCACACTTCGGGGTTCGGTATGACTGACTACCCGTCTCCCTATCTTAACCAGTAATGTTATTCTGCCGACAAAAGTGATTGTGTTCTACGCCATCTCAAAGAAATGCGTGTATGACCCCTTTTTCCCCGAGGGAAACGTTACCAGCAAGAACTATCTGTAGATACTTCGAAGCTGGCCACTTGACGAGCTTAGGGCAAATTAACCTGCCCAGTTCATTCTCGCGTGGGGTTATGTGGATCGCCTTGTCTAAGTCCCGCCACCGCCTATATGTGTAGAAGGACTCAAGAAGAGAATCACTGTGGCCCTGAAGACTGATACACAAGGCATGCTGAAGTGAGTGTGACAGGAACTCGACTACCGACTGCATGCGTTCCACGTCACAAGTGGCACACACACACACACACCAAGCATTTCCAATAATTTTGCGACATTTTAAAATTACCAGTTGACATATTTTTTTCTCGGAAATGTGCAGAACAAAACCCGTTCTGTTCAAAACTAAGCCTATTAAGTTTCGTTTCTCTTCTTTGAATTCTTACTCCCATGTCGACATCACAAATGTTGTTAATTTTTAGAAAAACCCTGTGCTTTGCTGCCTACTCTACCCGCCGATTCTGTTGTCAAGAGACCCGTTGTTGATAGTAAGTAATTAGCACCAACGCTATCAATTAGCCGATAATGTTGTTGTTGTTGAGTGAATGTCCTCCTGTCCTTTCTAGAGCTAACGACATTACGTCGGTCCGCGAGCTGGCAGGATTAGGACCCTAATTCGCCAAGCGTGTCATATTCGAACTTGAACTGGTTTTATTCGCTTAAATGTTTTTCCCATGCCACCTACTAAGTCTACCAGATCCCTCATTCCCCTCAAATTATCTTACTTGCTGCAATGATAGCGTAGTTGCCCATGCTCGTATTCTTATTGGTCAAGAACTCACTGTCGGTGTTGATAGGTTGCACAGTAGTGACCTGGTTGCATGTTTACCCACTACTGTCACTTACATCTGTCTGCCGACCCTGTCCGAAGAGAAACTAGTCATCTAATAAGGATAAGGAGATTCGCTGTTTTTGATTTACTGGAAGAGCCCGTGACTTAGCTGTACCGTCCGGAGTTGCACGTTAGCCGCCTCATTGTTCCTCTGTTAACGGTAAAATAACAGAAATGCATTCAAAACACCGCTTGACGTCTCAGAATTGGTCAGTACTTATCATCAGTTATATGAAGGAAGCGCGCTTGCAGAACCAACACGTGTAGGCACTCAAACGTCAGGGCTAGAGGTGAAACTGTCATAAAAGAAGCATTCGCGTTGATACTGGAGGGCGGAGAAGTCAAGGGAGGGGGTGTGGGGGAGGTGCCTCGTGGTAAGATCATTCTCCTTTCATCTTTGACCTCTTTGCTTCGAGAAGTTGTACTTCACTCCGCCCAATCACAAGCATCTCCTGTGCGGCCATGCTGCCCGCTACAGGACAACTGGTCGAAAACATCGCAACGCCCACCCCCGCAAGACGGCACTTGGACCACCAAGACAAGTCATCATTAATGATCAAAGGGTAACCGACCCCACTAAGCCGGCTCTGTCCCAATGTTCATTTAGTTAGATTTTTAAATCACGCCGACCCATCCTGCACTGGATATCCTGCTAACGCACCGCGCACTCAAAAGGAAGTGCGAGGAATGTTTTTCCATTCCAACATTTATTCATGACGCCATTAATTGAAGGGCACACTTAATGAAAAGCCTGTGGTTGGAAGTGGTAGGTTAGCCCCTCAACACGCTTAAGAGAATCTGGTGCAAACGAGGATTTCCTAGGTGCTGTGGGCTCCCATCATTTTCTCCGCTTAGCGGAAAGAGTAGGAGTTTTGGCATTTTAGGAAATGGTAGGGGGCGCTCACCGATCGTTCATATGGAACTCACTCGTTCCGTTGTGCCTTAAGGGCTCTCTCTCTCGAGCCCAACCAGCAACCGCACAGCGGCGCATGATGTATAGGCAGAATGGTATTACCGGTAATACCATTCTGCCTATATACTTTAGGAAATTCCCACAAGTATCCGAGAGCTCGACCGTCGTTACCGACGATATTCACCGTGTGCTCCACGGAAGGGTGAGGAGGGGGACGGTGACTTGTGCGCTAATCACTTTATAGTGATAACAGACCTGCCCCGCATCTACCGCACTCTCTCCTCCCCACTCCACACCCGGACCCACTGTCGTGACAGAGTTAAGAAAATCGGAAATAGGAGAGGACGCTGGTGGCTGGCACGGCGAAAACCCGCACCTAGGCGTACCACCACACTCTCAGGCCAACAGCAAACGCTCGACCAAGATTGTCAACAACAACAAAGATGGGGGCGGGAGCAGGAATTGCAGTTGGCGCGGTGTGAATCTGAAAGCGGGCGTGCCGCCGCGTCCCGAATGCCGGCATTTGCTACGGTGTGCGCATTCCCGATAACGCCCGTCGGACTCCTATCTAACCCCTGTGCTGGTCCAGCTCATCAACCACATGGCCCATTTTAGGGACTCCACCCCCCCACCCTCAGTCACCCGTTTAATAAAACATGCCATAGGCACATGCTCTTGCCTTCAAAAAATCGATAGACACGAGGCAACTGCTGATTCTGGACACTAAATCTTTTTCTGCAAACTCAACGTTCGTTGGCGATAATTGTAAAAGCGTGTGTTTAACAACCAGTCCGAGGCATAATTAACAACTCGCTCACTTGCCCCAGTCCCCCAATAAAATTTCAGTTTGAGGGACTAGGAAGATGCCAAAACGCGATAGGGCATTCGCATTTTCCGACCACAGCTTCAAACGAAACCACCCTTTTACCGCTCGTTTAGATGCAGTCTGTCTCACAGATATGAGGCTACCCACCTCCTGTCTGAAATTTGGACATTTTGACGTTGAACGATGCTGTTTTTGCGTGGAAAAATAAGGTGATAAGAATATTATTGCGGAGAAGATTTCATTGCAAAATTACTTTAATGGTGCATCAGGAATTGAACATTTTCAACGTTTTACTGTCTCACACTTACGACTCCGCTCACATTTTAGTGTTAGTGATGAATAAAAAAGAAGATGTACAGTCGCCACCGCACCTTACTTTTTCCGGACTGTGTTTATTCCCGTTCTGTTCTACTAAATCAGAACAGCACACGCATTCCAAATAGCCTTCCCTTGTCATCACTCGAATGGTTACTGGTTTAATAGTGCATGGACGTCTGAAAACTGCTCCTCATAGCATGTCACTTGGGCAATGATTGGTGTTTGCAGGGGACCTGATCACTATATAGAGTTGGTCGTGTCTTTGTCACTAATTCGCCCTCTAGGAAGCACCTATGCACTCACTGAGGACAACATTTTAACAAAAAATGTCTAACAATTCTACTGGGCATTCTGTTTACCTTTCAAAAGCCGTGATTCGACCAAATGCTCCCCAAGCCATTGGCCGGCCACCTCTATGTGATTATCTGCTGTAGGCAAAGGTTTTTTTTGTGCAGGCCGTGCCAGTACCAGGTTTGGCAATTCAAACCACCATAATCGTATTTCTTTTCGTCGCAGAAGATCATTTTACGTAAGGGATCATGTTCATGGAGATGTGATCATTGACTGAACTGACGTGCTCGTAGAGCCTGCCTACAGGCGAACACCGATGAATTGTAGACTTTGCAAATTCCAGTGTCAAATTCCGCCTGAAGTTGTGCCAGCTCTTTCTGCTCCAGAAATCTAGTTCCTTCTTCCAGCTCGTTCCGGCTGTCAGAAATCTTTCACCGGATGCAGCCCCAGAGTCATTGATCGATCACCTGGGCTTTCGTCCGATCTATTTATTGCTCTGGCTCACTTCATTTAACGAGGAAACCTCGCTTCGTCCAAAAGTGCCCAGTTGCACCCGTATTCGTGCATGAAAGACGCGAAATGCCTGCAGTTTGTCGGTTCTGAGAAAAAAATGGATTTAATTTAACCGGTGGAGCTAGTGAAACTGCCAGTAAAATTTTACATGTGTAGATCTCTAGGGAAATACGTATACTATGCCCTGTGCAGTGTCCTTGTAGACACAGAGCGACTGTTGCTTATAGAATCCATACTACCACCTACGGAAGTGGTCGCCCGCTGATCCCTGGGGACCGTCCTTCTGCACTTCCACCCATGGTGGGATCAACGGGCTCCCAATCCCCCTCCCCTCCCCCTCCACCAACATCAGTGGCATGGCTTTCTTCATGGCTGACCAGCTGACATCCCGTCTATCAGCCTAGAGAATATTCCGCTCTCAGCTGCATACTCTGAGCTTTGATTTGCATTCTGCTTGTGACCCACATGCAGATGAACGTCAAGGTCATTTGAAGTAGAATATAGTGCCCACTTGTGTAACTCTGCTCTCCTGGAAATCCTCTATTTGGGCTGTTCTAGTAGGGAGGGGGAAATTATGCATCTGCTTTCACGCCAGAGGCATTCAGCAAGTGTAAACTGCACATGCGAGGCTACTAAATGTAGAAACTTGACGAACGCGCATCGTTCAGACCAATGCGGAGACGTTACTTCCTGGCTGATGTCGTCAGTCCATTTCGGTTTTGACAGTTGAACGGTCCTAAGGCTGATGGTCTCTACATGTAGAACCGGCTTCTGTGGGCTGTCATCTACGCCGTTGCCATTAGACGCTGTCCTGGTGTCTCGGTAGACTACGTAGGAGGCTTTTCTGTCTCCTACAAATTGCCCGAGAATGCATTCAACTCCAAACCATTGTCCCATGCCTCATTCTACAGGCGTCGACTCTGGATCACTGAGACTTATCCACCCTCACCAATTTCACAACAATACTTGATGCTTTAAGGAGCGAGTATTAAGAACAAGCATGTCTTCTACTACGTTAATTATACTTCATTTCGTTTTTACTATCTGCCAACGTTAGATCTCATCAGCTGTAGAACCCAGTCCTACTTCCGTCGTTAACGTCTCGGGGTGTGGTAACATGTATCCACCATCCGTCAGACCGAAATCCAGCAGTCATGGAGAGAGTTGACAGTGACTCGAAAGGAACACCTGATGGCTCAGTTAGGAAACCAGCAACCTAGCGGCAGTCACTGCCAGCTCTCGAAGAGGACGTGGCAATGCAAAAATGCGACCTGTGGTGGTAATTGGCAGTGGATGCATTCCGGAAGAAGAATCTAGAGGGTGGGCCGGTACAATAGCTGTGAAGGGTTAGTCTGAAGCCTAGTTTTTTTTTGGCCAGTAGCGGTGCGGTCACGAAAATTTATCTTGCCCTTCAGGCAACCTATCAGACTGCGCTCTACACTCGCACATACGCGGATCTGTGCGGAAAAGTTTTATCTCGGCACCTTTTAACGAAACAGGTGTGGCAATTGTGCGAAACAGAACATTCGTTTGAATTCTGCGCATATGCATCTCATTTGTTCGACTTTTCGATACTCCGGAACTTGTACCGAAGTTCTTCGCACGAGGAATGCAGTTGGATAGCGTCATATACGCATTTCCTGCACGAAGGTGCATCAGCATTTGTGATTGTACAGTTTTATTTCACATTTAACTTGTGTTCCCGCCAGTATATGTATCTCGACTAGTATGCAAATTCAATCTCATCAGTGATAATGTATTTTTAAACCTCGTCGTCAGAAGACCATCTGACCAGTGTGGGGAAGGTCTGCTTAGAAGTCCCTCTGAATATCCTACGATAGTCTATATGATCTGATCGCACTTGGACTAGACGAGGAGGTCAAGTGCGATCCTTGACCGGTTAGAAGTAGTTCACTGGGGCCGAAATGCTATCGTCAGACCGGGAACATTCAGTTCTGCCAGATGAGGGTTCGCGGCTCTCTATGTGACATTGGGATTTTCAATTTCTGTGACCAAACGCCTTCGCGGTCCGATACAGCAATTTGCATCACAGTGGTCTCGATTCGGGTTACAGTCTAGCATGGCACAGGTGGGAAGGAACAGTCCAATTACTTGAAGAACAAGAAGAAGAAGGGGAAGAAGAAGAAGCTGAAGAAGAAGAAGAAGAAGAAGAAGAAGAAGAAGAAGAAGATGATGATGATGATGATGATGATGATGATGATGATGATGATGATGATGATGATGATGATGATGATGATGATGATGATGATGATGATGATGATGATGATGATGATGATGATGATGATGATGATGATGATGATGATGATGATGATAAAGAAGATGAAGCAGAAGGACTCGCCGGAGCCGGTTTATTTAATTACTGACGTTTCGAAGAGCTTAGTCAGCTCCCCATTGTCAAAGCGTAAAGTGTACATAATCCACCAGAAATTTCAAGTTGCATTTCGCGTTGGTCGGCTTCGTGCTGATCGGTTCTTCTCTTCTCTCGCTGCCGCAGCCTCTTGGGGTAGGGTTGAGGCGCGTTTTACCTCTATGCTTTGGCAGTCACCGCTTCGTCGTAGGGATGTGATAAAACCTTCGTCAGGTGGCCAGTATGGTGGTTTTTCTTCCTTGCCGAGTAGACTAGCCGTCGGCCTGTCTATGTATGACCTTCTTAAGTCCACTGTGGTTACTTGGTCCTGAGCTCTACGGATGTGATGACGTAGGACTTTGTAAGCTGCAGGAAGGTCCATATGCCTGTTGATGAAGTTGGCATTGGGGTACCAAACCTCGAGTGTTAGTCGTTCTACTCGACTCGGATCTCTCAGCTTTGCCAATCTAGGTCCAATTACTGGCTGGAATCGGTTAACGGCCTCTGAGTCAGAGGCCAGTACCTCTGATGTCTCGCCGACTACGCCTTCAGCCTCCTGGTTATTCATGTTGGGCCTGTTTCGGGAGAGTTTGATAATAAGGACAGCTAGGTTGGGCGAGAGCTTGACTCGCACAGTGTTCGTGCCCACTTTCATGTGATCATTAAGCATACACACCCCTCAATGCCTGATTGCTCATTCACATCACCGCTTGCCTGCTGTTCAGTTTTAATGGACATCTCACACGTTTCTTGCGACATCCTTTCACTCTTCTCAATCCGCCGTAAAGATTTCCGTGTTTTTCGCGATTTGTTTTCTCATTATGCAGCTTCCCCGGCAGCCCTGTCCTGAAATGCGTTCATCTCCGTCAGCTGCTATGCATTTTTTTCTTCAGAATGGAGAAAAAGACTATGAGAAAATATTTGCCAGGCCTCTCCTGAAATGCCGTCTCAAGAGCGCGAATGCTTACTGTCTTGTCGAGCCCGAAAGCACTTCTCTTACCCACCCCTCTAGCAGGTGTGAGGCCTGGTCAGGTGTGAACTTCCGTCTCTGCCAACTGATCAGTCATGCAGAACGACCTGTGAACCATGGTTGGCGCTCAACAATTTATCGTGAATAGAGATTTCCGTTGCAGCCTCGAGGGTCAGAAATAATTTTTGGTGACGCACGCTGGTGACCCATCAGTGGTTGAAAAATGTTAAAAACAAAGACAAGGGAGGATGAAGTAGAAATTCATTCTGGTTTATTCACCATCAGTTGAGTCGAGTAGTGCAGGCACTTGAGTGAGCATGCTCAAAGACCCTTTGGGCCTGAGTTCAAACCTCGTGTGCTCCAGAAAAGTAGGTGTCGCTGAATGATGTCGGCTCCCAACCCTCCACTTACTATGACACTGGCCCAAGTCTCCATCGTGATTCCCAGTGAGTTCGGTTTGCTACGGTTTGATTGGGGATTCAAGTGGTTTGGACACTTCTGTAACCCAAAAAGCCAGTTCGAATCTGGCGAAACCAGGTTGCCGACGACCGCCGACACCTTTAAATCATCAGAACAGTCTACTCCTGCTCAAGTGAATCAGAACGACATAACGTACAGATTCAAACTTCATCAACAGGCATCTGGACCTTCCTGCAGCTTATAAAGTCCTACGTTATCACATCCGTAGAGCTCAGGACCAAGTAACCACACTGGACTTAGGAAGGCCATACATAGACAGGCCGACGACGAGTCTACTCGACAAGGAAGAAGAACCACCAGACCGACCACCCGACGAAGGTTCAACCACTTACTAATTCACTTCCATTAAAAAGTGTGGGTAATAGTGCGGATGGACGTTGTACCAAAACATCGACGAGCAATCGAAACTGGACATCATCAGTGAAACTTCAGTCTAAATGCCGTCGCAGTTGTGAGGTAGTAATAATTTGAAGATTGCCCGAAACTACTGTATCAGTAAGTCGTTGTTGCATTACATAGACAGTTCCAGTGCCCTTTTCGCTGGTCGCCCAAAACTCCGTTTACCATACCTTGCACGTAGGGTTGTGCATTCAAATTAGAGGGCGAGTTGCCAGCTTTCGGGTGTTATGGAATAAGTAACCTGTCTGTTTTCTGCTTGACTGTTAATGAAGGAGCGCCTCCGCCACCTTATTAAAAACGGCCTTAATACCTTTTCCAGTACTGATCAGTCTAAAGATTAACAAGAGCGATTTAGTTGCGATAATTAATGTCTCCAATGTGGATGAGTAACTGCTCACTATCGCACCCAGTACAGTCATCGGCAACGAATGCATGAACCGTTAGCTATTATGGGTTGTAAGTTGCTCCACGGTCACTGCAGCCTGCAGACGGATCTACAAATATCAGTTAGCTGCTAAGAGGTCGGACCATCTATCTCAAATTGCCTTGCATACACTAGATACTGGACACACTTTTGCATGGGACAAGGCTCGCATTGTCGGCGTTCGCCCCACCAAAAGGCAAAGAATTTTTTGAAATCATGCACTCAGGTTGGCCATGCCTATAACGGCACACTGAGTTAGACGTCCTGCGCAAAAATCCCAAGGAAAAGTGTAAGGGACGGATACCAATCGATGCACAAAAGCATATACGGCGGACTATTACTGGCGAACACGCCGAAGGGTATTGATTTTTGGACATGTTTGATGTGCTGACTGTTTTTCGAATATTTACTCACGTCTGACGACGGCCTTGGGAAGCGAAGTCGAAATTTAGCAATATAGTTCTTGCTTTTCCCAGAGAATTTACTGCTATCTACAGTCCTGTAGAATCGCCGTCCCCCCTTACTCTCCAACACAGGGAGCCGCAACTTTTCTTCCCCTCCTCCTCCACTCCAAATCCTGACGTAATTATGTGTCCACCCCTTTAACTTGCTACTTGCTTGTCTGTCAGTGGCTGTTCCGCCGCGCCAACCAATTTAGCCTTTTTCACTTTCTCCTCTGTTTATTTCGTCTGGCGACGGGTTTGTGTCACCAGCTCGAAAATACACGACTATAACTATATTTCTTTCCGACGAGCCTTCTACATTCGGCATATCATCTCGGAATGCACACTACCTCAAATATGCAATATATATATATAAACGGATATTTTCAGAATTATTCACTGCAAGACATGAATCTAAGTCTCTGGAATGAATATTTGATGTATGTTTTCTATGAAATATATTTGAATATGTAAGGAAATCGGAAATCAATTAGAGAAATCCATACCAATTAAGTAGTCATTTACACAGAGTGTAGTTTTAACGCGGCTGAAGAAAATTCGCTCAAGAGCCAGCATCCTGAATTAACTGAATTATCATGGGATTATGCTGCATGGTGATTCATGTCACAACCATACTTAAGTAGGCTTTTCGAGTCGAACACTCATCTCAGAATTTCGGTTAACATTTCATGCACTAACACGTCTGCTGTACACACAATCCTGACACACCAGGAAGCACCAACACCCCCACCGTCAACACCAGTGACGAGGACCTGGTCTATACCTGGACCCACTGCCATTGCAATTTCACCTCACACATCGGCCTGGTCGGTCACTTGAGAATCCCTCGCACAGAAACCAGTGTAAACCAGTGTCTAGTGTACCAACCTACACTCGTCGCATCCGCTTACAATGCCCACATCGCACTCGCATATCTATTCACCGCATGGTTCTATTAGATCACATGCGCATCCAAGAAAACCTGCGGTAGACTGCCAATGACTGCACTACTCCATCACATCTCACTCATCAGCATCTCACCGCACATCAACATCACCCACCGTAATCCCTCAACTGCCACCTCCCACGCAAGTGGGATGTGTGCGTCTGGGCTCAGTCACCATGCGGCTCCCCTGCTGTATGTGTGATTGGAGTCGTCGGGGATTCGAGCGCCATGGCCCGGAAGGCAGCCGAGTGACGCCCTGACTCAGTCCACGCAGTCTGCCCAGTTGTGTGTGTGTATGTGTGGATTGGCGGACCGGTGGACTGAGAGCCAGATTGTCACGGCTCCTTCTTAAGCGATCCATGACACTCTCATGCATGTGAGGGGAGTGTTTGTTTGTGTGTGTCCTTTATCGGTAGTTCCTCTCAGTCGACGATTGTTTAGTTACCCCAGCTTGAAGGGTGACGGCCGAAACTGTCGGGTTATATACAAAAGCAATTAACCATTTGACCCTATCGAACAAGTGATTCTGTGGTTGGCCGAAGCCTGTGCCAACGCCCGTCAATGGTATTTTGTCATCCTCTCGGCATTAGTTGCGCTCGCTTCCACTCTTCTTTAAGAAAAGTGTACATGGCATCTAAATCTATATGCCAATTTATGCATGCACGATCCGAGTGCATTGCTTCTAGGGACTCGCAGCCTTTCCTTACTGGGAAGACGCCAACAGTGTGAGTGTCCTTTCATGCAAATTTCTGTCTAATGTACAGTGTGTTCTTAGTCACCTGGGACAGATGGTCTCGTCACCTCCCCGTCAACTGACGCTCATATATGCGAGTTGAGACATATATATACACTTAGGGGTAGGCGACCACAGATTCATTGGCTTCCCGAACCAAGCAAGCTTCGCATGGTTGATAGAGGTCATGAACAGGCAAGCACCTACCGGGCCGAAGTCGGAGAAAGCAATGATAGCAGAGGGGAAACGACTAAGAATGCACATAGATTGATAGAGCACTTTTCAGGCCTTATTTCGCCTTCATTTAGCCAATCAAAAACCTGACCAGCATCTGGGACCAGAAACACAAACATGCGCACAGACACACCTGTCGCAGCTGGTCAAAATTGCTTTCTCAGTGCTACGAATGGGTCGGTGCTGTGGGCTGACTTTTCGTTTTGATTGGCCATCAACTGTTCGCAGCAGAGACAGAGCAATATCGATTTTTCAGGCATGTTTAGATTTCAAGTGCTTTTCACGATTTCTGCACGTCCGACGGTGACCAGAGTCGAAAATATACCAAGTGTATGAAATGAAGTTTGTTCATTTTCCCAAAGGACTCATTTATCTTCCACATCGATG